GAAGGAACATGGGTCATCTAGTTTTTTTTTTCTTTTTAACAAACGAAACATTTATTAATAAATGCGCAATCCCCCTCCTCCTACTGTTGCTGCTCATTAGCTGTGTTGGATGGCACAAGGGCCTGGGGACAATTAAAAACATTTGGTCTCCTATGTATACCGGCCACATACCTCATCAGCTTACAAACAAATAGTGTACTTACCTACTGGTCCAAAAAGATTTGCAATTATTCCGTTTGGCAGAACAACAGACTGGAATTTTAGACCGTGCACACGCTTGTACCCATTGTAAACGATCCTTTGCATCTCCCCTGGCCGACACATTGGTCTCGGCACTGTACCATCCACAAACCCGAAACAATTATCTCAGTAATTAATTAAGTAATTAATGGTTTCCTTTTCCCTTATTCATTCTATTCATGTTAATTGTTGCACGTCTGTTTGCACAATGATTCTTAATTAAGACCTTTTATTAAGGTAGCACCTTTGACAAAAACTGCATTTCCAAACACATGCTGAGGTGTTGGGTCCAGAAAAGAGTGGTTGCACTCAGTTATTGGTGGCTGTGTATGGTGTAGATGACATCAGTGACCGAGCCACAAATCATGCTTAGTATTGGTACYGGCCGCCCAAAACGGGGAAGTTAATCTGAGCAACTGCCCGGGTAACTAAGCGTTCGCAACAAGACCCACACACCTTCTATGTCTTCAATCACATATCCCTGTATGTGGGTTAAAGTTTCAGGGATGTCAAGAGCTCCGGCAAGCACAGAAATGTCAGCTTTTCTGAGACGAAATTCCGCTTTACACTCGGTGTCATCCATTTCAGTAAAGTCAAACGTTCTGTAGCCTTCGTAGGGAAACTCGGGATTTTTAGATTGATTAACATCAAACAACAGACAAAAAGCCCTCATTATCTATGACCCCACTATCAGGGAAAAAACTATGGCTTCTTGTTTATCCTTTAAACTTATTTTGCACCCATCTCATGTCCGTATCACAGGAAAACTAACTAAGACAACAAACAAGCAGACAACAAGGTTTGTGAAAACAAATCTTTAATTACAAGCAGATGACGAATTTGCAGTCATGAGATTTTCGTCATGTTCGAAAGCCCTAATATTCAGGTAAATATCATTTCGACATCTAAGGAGAGTTCCCTATTAGCGATGGGAAAGGGGCTTATGCTAAAGAAAAAACCAAATTCTGGAATGAAAATAGTTGTTACGTCCACAGGATCTTAATCTTTTTGTGCATCGAGCGAGACGGGCCCTCGATCTAGTGTTTACCGTCCAAACCTTGCTGGCGTCCTCGCTCGCCGTCCTCCATCTTAACGTCCCTACTGAGGCCATAGAACGCAGTTATTACTTGTGGGCACGTTTATGGTGTTCCATCACATGTGAGATGTTGCTTAGTCCAAAAGCATTTTATATTGGCGTACTTAGAAGAAGTACCAAAGACGAGAAGAATTGCAAGTTATGTTCTTAGAGTACCGAGTCCTCCCCCAGCCACCCCGTTCCCCTCCCTCCCTTCTCCTTGCCTATCTTTCACCTTCACTGTAATATTTCCCTCCTCTCTTCATATTTTCTCTGCTTTAAAAGAACGCGCCGACGGTTAAACATTTCAAATTACATCGAAACTGACCAAACACTCGCTCGCCCGTTGAACACTTGCACCAAGTAGACCAAGGATTAAATATTGTGTAGTATCGCTGAGTATTTTTACGAGTTTTGCGAGATTTATTATCCAAAACGCCAAATTGTTATTCAGTGCTGCGAATTTCGCCGATATTTTTCACAGTTCTCCGGAGCAAAAACCTCGCGTGATACTTGTACTCGATTCGTACGTTATTTCTTCATTTGAATGATAATACGAGCGTAACGAATAGAATCGACTGCGTTTAGATACAAGAGAAATTTACAATGTGCCTAATATGGAGAAAACCTTTGTGACTCAATATCTTACATTGTATATTCACGATACTTTAAATGCAACTGCTTACATGGCTATTTTTTCAAAGATCTTAAAATGTGTTAGGTTTCTTAAACGAAGACTTTTGTTATTGATGATGTGTGACTTACAATCATAACCCTTTTAAATGAGCCAGGAAAAACAACAGAATTTTTTATCAGTGTCGATTTATTAACTATTTTGGTTGTTTACCAAATGAATGTGTTCTTTGCATTTCATCGCTGTTAAATCCGCCACTGTGATAGTTTCGNTACATGGAAACTGACCAAACGCTCGCTCGCCCGTTGAACACTTGCACCAAGTAGACCAAGGATTAAATATTGCGTAGTATCGCTGAGTATTTTTACGAGTTTTGCGAGATTTATTATCCACAACGCCAAATTGTAATACAGTGCTGCGAATTTCGCCGATATTTGTCACAGTTCTCCGGAGCACAAACCTCGCGTGATACTTGTACTCGATTCGTACGTTATTTCTTCAGTTGAATGATAATACGAGCGTAACGAATAGAATCGAGTGCGTTTAGATACAAGAGCGATTTACAATGTGCCGAATATGGAGAAAACCTTTGTGACTCCATATCTTACACTGTATATTCACGATACTTTAAATGCAACTGCCTACATGGCTATTTTTTCAAAGATCTTCAAATGTGTTACGTTTCTCAAACGAAGACTTTTGTTATTGATGATGTGTGACTTACAATCATAACCCTTTTAAATGAGCCAGGAAAAACAACAGAATTTTTTATCAGTGTCGATTTATTAACTATTTTGGTTGTTTACCAAATGAATGTGTTCTTTGCATTTCATCGCTGTTAAATCCGCCACTGTGATAGCTTCGGGTTCCTGCCAAAAGGAAAAGAAAGGGGAGAAAGGATAAAGTTTTCCTTTCGAACAAGAATATATTTACCTAAAAGTTATATGTGCTTGGCAGTGCAACTTTCTGCAGAAAAAGAACACCGGTAGGTCTACACAATCTTATTAGGATCATGCCACTTTGTAAGAGTACGCGTTCTATGAAAGGAAGCAAGCAGGCTTCAGTTATTTTTTGTAGATTATCACTGCTAATTTTGAAACAAAAATTAACTCGGTGTTTTTTGCAATTTTACTCTCCTAAGCCTGTCTGCATAACTTTTGAGTAGCCTAGTCAACCCTTCAACTGCCAAGATCTGGGCCCGCCTGTTGAAAGGTAACGCTATCCCACGGATAAATCACCATCCCACGGATAAATCGCTATCCCACGAATAAATCACTATTCCACGGATAAATCGCTATCCCACGGATAAATCACTACCCCACGGATAAATTGCTATCCCACGGATAAATTGCTCTCCCACGGATAAATGACTATCTCACGGATAAATCGCTATCCCACGGATAATTTGCTATCCCACGGATAAGTGACAGAAAAACGTATCGCGTTATCCACCGGATAAGGTTTTATCGAGTTGATAGCGCTATCCAACCTTCAAACAACTGGGGCCTGATTGTTAATTCTTCCCTCTAGCTGCTACACATTTCCTTGCAAACAAGTTCCGAGAATTTGGAGCCAGATTAAGTTAGCAATTTCTAGCTGATAAGCTTCAGTACTCTCATCACCTGTTTGCTGGATAATAGAAGGATATTATAGGGAGAAGTTACATGTTAATGACTTCTGAGAGTTAAAGGGTTCAATATGAAAAGTCAATCCACACATTCACAGAGACCACTTTAAGTTTGACCCTCTTTCCGAGAATGAATGATAATTCGAAGAATAATCCTGTCAAAATTATCCTGGAAAACAAGAGTCGACCTATCGCGTTTTCAGTTGAAGTCAGCGAAGTCATGCAGCGAGCGAAAGAGGCGACACGATCTAAGAAACGCAAAGAAAACAAACCTCACACCTACGGGCTTTTCTAAGATTAAGGCTGTTATCTGAATTCTTGGCTGCATAACAGATTTAACCATTTCCAATTAGGTAGGTGTACTTTTAGGATACGAATGTGAGGCTAGGCGTTATAGCGGAGCTCACTGCGTGCACAAAGGGCAAGCAGCTTAGCCATATCCCTAGAGAAATTGATAAACCATTCAGCCAAGAAAACTCTATTGGTGCATTGGCTATCTCCACATTTTCTGCGAGCAGAAATAATTTTCTCTAACTTCCCAGACGATAAAATTTCCATGTAATTCCCAACCAAACACGAGTCTTGATTAGTGCACTCTTTGAAGGGGCTACGACGCAAGAGGTTTGGACTGGAAAACATTGATTTATCTAACACGCCGCTGCGCCGCTTATCGCTTTTTTAAACGCACATTAAATCTCCTGCCACGCAATATTTAAAAAATCTATCAC